TGCGGAGAAAGGGTAACGGCGGGCATTGAATGAAGAGAGGGGTCAGCAAGGTACTTGAAGTCCACGGGGATGTCCCATTCCCAGACACGGAGGGACTTGTCATCCGAGGTGGACACAAAGCGCCGGTTATTATCAACAAAGGTCACTGTGTTCACGGCACCCAAATGGCGATCGTACTGCTGGACAACTTCTCCACTGCGAATGTCGTACTAGAAAAGAATTAAGAACAAGCGCATAACGCATTCACAATCGTACACAATCAGCGGGCATTTGATTAATTATAGGCGAGCTAACAATCACTACAAGTTGTCTCCTCACATTATAGGCGATAGCTCGACAATCGTGAGCGACAAAGTCCACTATTACTCTATGAGGTGAATCCAGCAGCGGACATTTGTCACTTAAAAAACTCAAACGGAAAGGTCATTTGAGAGTTTATAAAAAAGGACTGGCTATCTGAGGTTCCGTGTGTTCCAGGATGCGAATTTAAACCTACTGCGTTGGATACTTTATTACTTCCGCCGCCTTAGGTCCTGCAAGGTAGCCCTTAGTACGACCAGCAAATGTTTACGCGTAAATAATAGTTTTTGGATTATTTTCTGAAACAAACGTGTTGTTTTCCAGCTTTAATTTTCATGAACCACTCCAAGAAAAATATGGGACGAAAAGTTTCACTGCAATATGTCTGCTTTTTTGGCTTTAGTAGGTATGGTGTATTACGTGCATATATCTGGTTGAACTTAAGCAAGTTAAGCGATGGACTAAGGTCGGGCTATGGATTTAGGTTAAGGGTAAGTTTACCTATCGCAGACCGGATTACCCAATCAAATCTCTTCGAACCAATAACCTTGGATTTCCTGTTTTGGTCAGTTTACATTCCATTAATCTGCATAGATCATATTGCACGTCTGTTTCAGCCTACCTATGGAGAATAAAAACAAGTATGTGCTAGAAATGCTATTATTCTCAATACCTAACGCAAACTCCGTTAATCGCTTCGGTCATTTGCCATTCTGATCATTCGTGCGGTCTTATAAGAGCCCTTCTGTTTTCATGAGATCGAAAATGGAGAAAAGCACCGCCATTACTATTTTGTGATATAACACGCTGAGTGAACTATTTTTTTCTAATTTGAACTTATTAGAGGCGACTACCAAAAGCTCAAACGAAACGGACTATCTGGGACCTTGATATATGCTTAAACTGCCTAGCAGACAGCAGCCCTGGTTCCTACGAGAATGCGCAATGCGGACAATCGCAAGATTAAATCGACTCCTTCAGACACCATGAGAGCACAAAACTGCAACATCTGCGGCTCCAACAAGGACACGGTGGATTTAGTTTGAGGCGGCAGCTGCAAAACACGGATACACGAATTTTGTTAACGACCAACACGCAGAAGGCTCTACTATCTACGACAACTTTTTTTCGGAGCCCGCGCATTCCAGATGACGCTCAAACAGGCATAAACCGGCCGTAGAGATTGCTTGCGGATGGAGGTTAAGTACGTGGAATGGGGCTGCCAGCAAACCCCTCTCTCCTCCGCTTGACATCAGGTTCCTGCAATCTTTACCTAGCAAGCATGCATTCAGCGGCTTAGGGTGTTAGCATTTGTCTGGAGGAGATCATGCTAAAACTGCCCCTCGCCCGGTCTGCCGAGGGACAAAGATCGACCAAGAACGGTCTGGGAGATCGGTGGTTGGCTCGGTTTTCAGCCGTAGAAGACGCCAGGTTTGAGAGATTGACGCATGAAAAAGTACCGGCCGGATGACGTGCCTGACGTACAAAGAGAATCTTGTTTTTTGTGTTTTAACGATAATACATGACTACTTACTTGATTTAGGTAGGTATAGTATATTGTGAC